CTACAGCTGACTTTTATCAGAGTCAGAGAATCTCATTCACAGAACATGGTATGGTGAAAACTAAGTCACGCTCTTATGTTTAGAGCTGGAAGTGTTTCTTGGCCTTTTAGATTATAAAATAATCTGTTTAGATTATATAAAGAACTAAAATCATTTTTCAAAAGACCAGGATAGGATAGGAAAAATACTATTTGTCTATGTTAATTTCTTGATCATTAAAGGAAGACACTGAGTCCTAAAGATAAATGATCTGCTATCAAATGCATTACATTTTATTAGACAATAAACACTTGGTAATTGTTTTGTTTGTTTTTTTCCTTCCAGAGGACTTTAATTTTGAATTATTGTTAATATTAAATACTGTAAGTAATCAAGCTGTACTAGATAAATTCCAGGAAATATGTCCATTAGGTATATTCTTGACAGAATTAATTTGTAGTTGCTTATATAAAATCAAGCTTCCACCAAGTTATGAGGGACATGACAATATGACAGTGGTTTCCTAATGCTTCTTTGATTTCCCAGTCTAGTCTATGATCCTGGGTTTTCCTGGTGTAATCCCATTAAAATATTAGCCAGATTTAATCCTGCTTAGTTTGTCCAGGATCAGTCAAGGTTGATTATGCTATCCATGTTTATAATATTAAATTTAAAATATATTACCAGGTCAGCATATTTCTTGCAGAGTGCTGCTAGCTTTTCTTCTGGAGTAGCAAGTGTGTTTAAAGCTTGCATAAGTAACAATACTTCTTTTCCTACAGACCAAGACAATATTATCAGAGTAGTGAGCAGCATGGTTAGAATATTGACAATAAAAAATGTAAAATATGAGAAAATTTCAGCCAAAGCAACAACATTTTTCATACAAGACAAGGCCTGAGAATGGGCAACAAAAACTTCTGAATCACAGTATAAACACATTGGGTAAAAATACTAGTTTCCACATAAAAAATCCATTTTATCTACAAAGTTTAGAAATGTAGAGAGGCAGGTAGCAAAGCACTACATATTTAATTATCAAAATTGAATTTAATATGGTTCAATAAAATATTTGAGTTTAAGACATATAGCTATTAAGAGCATGGGAGTTTTAAATATGTAATAAAGACAAACAGTATGTTCAATGTTAAAAATCTATGTTTCAATATCAATAAGTACCTAAAGTTTTTTCTTTGTTTTTCTCATTTTCTGAGTCTTGCTGCCCATCAGGTGGGTCAATACGGGTTTCTTCTCTCCCTGGAGTTTCCTCCCGCAACTCCTGGGTACAGTATTCTTTCCCCACCAGTTTTCTGTTTTTGGAAATGTAATCTTCTACTTCCTGTGCATCTACATTTTCTCTGCTGTCACAGTTTGTTTCTGCTTGCTGTAGCATTGTATTTGTAGTATGCTTGCTATCTGCTATCCAACTGATCCTAGTTGCCAATTCCAAATCCACAAATCTTTGATTTTTCCACAGTAATCAACTTGCACTGGGAAGAGAAATATACTCAAATTATTAAAGAAAAAACGCATTGTTCTAAGTTTTCAAGGCACCAAAATAGGCATGTTTCACCAACAAACTGAGCATGTTTATACGTGATACAGCACGGAGAGGATGAGCAGATGCTATGGGAATAATCACACTCCTTGTTGATCCTAGGGCAATGCCGTATGCTTACTTGGAGGCAAGTCTCCTTAACTTCACTGCTTCAACGTTTAGAATTGTGCCGAAAGGAAAAAACAGACAGGAGCTCCATCCGATTATGATCAAACCTCCCCCCACCCCCGGTCGGCTCTTTAGAGCTCCTATGAGAAGCGGCACGGTGGGATAACGAGACCCATCTCTCTCAGCCAAACGCCGGGCTCTTGCCCAGGTATGGAGGTGGGGAAAGAAGAGACTGAATAAGCAGGCTACCAAGAAAGCGTCTACAGCCACCTCCTCCGCCAAGAACCCGAACTGTGAAACCGGAAGCTTAGCGAAGCGGATTAGAACAACGCCGCAGGAGGAACTTCCTGTCTCTTCCGCCCAAACACCCGGCTGTGGTTGAAACCCCCGCCCCGAAAGTAGACGCAGAATGTGTACGCGGGCGAATTCGTGCTATGCCGACCACCTATTCCCATCTCTGCGGAGCGTCTAGCGTGGCAAGGGAACGCGGGAAACCGAAACGACGGCATATTATTATTCGCTCGATTTAAAAGCCACGAATTAATGTTTGCTCGCTACACTTTGCCCTACAATCACCTGTAATGTTCGGTTGCTACTGGCTGATTCTCCTCTGTGTCGCCTTCAACGGAATTCAGTTGGGTTGAATTTCTAGTCCCGAAAAACGTGTGCTACAACAAGCTGAAAGTTTTAATTGCCTTAAAAGTTTAGATATTTCTAAACTTTCTATAGGAATTATAGGGGCTTTGCATATTTACTCTGAACAAAAGATGACAGGGATTCAGTCCTATGTTCAGGCCCATAAAAGGATTCAATAGGGAAAATGATCAATGTTCCATTGCCAGAGAAACTAAGTCCAGAAATAATGGATGTGAGATAGAGATACCTAGAGCTTGGTTAATTAAAAGGAAAAATTTCCTGAAACTAAAATATTACAACACTAAGTGTTGTATGTGAGGCAGTATAACTCTGGAGATTGTGGGTTCTTCTTTCTGGTAGTTTTAAAGAAAAAAAATAGCCATCTCAAGGATGGTTTTTTTTCCTGTACACTGCAGAAAGTTGGACTAAGATGCCACTTGTGGTCTCTTTAAATTCCAGTTCTAGGATTCTGTAAGTGAACGTCTTAGTGAAATTTGATATATATCTCCCAAAATTTAGATTTCTACTTTTAAAAATAGAAATGTTTAGAGTTGAGTGATAAGAGAAAGGCTAAAGATAACAAATCAACTATTTCTTACAAAAGTTTATTTGTTGCTCTCCCCAAGCCTATGAATTTTATTCATGAGTGATCATGTTTGAGGGTTGCAATACCAGTGAGAATTTGTGCTGTAAATAATGGTCACATGCAACAGCTGTTCCAATAGAAGAGAATGTATGTAGCTCAGAGTTCCTATGTGGAGTTTTTGGTGGTGAGCTTGGTTGCAAATATTTTCTTACTCCTAGATAGGGTTTACTCCCTATTTACATAGATATATATCATAGTTTGTCCTGTTAGTGTTGGTGGGGATATGGTTTGCTCCTTCCTAGTTTAATACCCTAATCAAAGAACTACCAAAAAGACCCCCCCATTACAGGCAGGTAAGCTACTGTATATAAATAGGAAGCAAATCCCACATTTGCTAGTAGTGATGATATTACATAAGTAATGGAACATCTGCCACCAATCAAGCAAGTTTGGAGAGCACCAAGGACTAATGGCTGTCATTTGTTAACCATCATTAACAAAACAAGCACCATAATGGCTTCACATCTGGCCTACTTTTTACACCTAGTCTTCCTTGGTTGGACTTTAACCAACATTCTCCATGCATGAGATATTTTGTGAGGTAACAAAACACAGCAATGCCACAGACATAGCAAGTTCTCCTTCAAGGAGCAACAGCCATCTTTCTTTAACTTTCTACTTCACTCTGCACCACTCAGTTAAAGAAAGCAAGTCATTTATTTCTGGATATTGTGGCTAAGGTCACTATTTACATTTAGTTCACTTATAGATAGAAAAGAGTGAATGAAAAAGTGTGGGTGTGCTCCTTCAATGGTCAATTCTTTAGGTTGTTCTGCTCAGAGAAAAGAAATGAATAGGCAAACGCCACTGTTTTTTATCACCCCTGTGGGCCTAGTTCTAGGGATGAGTCAGAAAAGAATAGCTGCTGCCTATTCTTGGTTGCAGGTTCTCCATCTCCAAAAGCAGCAGAACTCAAGACAAGGCAATTGAGAGATCTTGGAGGAATTTTCTAACTTTGGTTCTCCTCCCTGTACTTTTACTAACTCTTCTGGTTGGCAGAAGAAAGGAGAAGACTGCAGCTAGAGTTTACTCCTTGACAACTTCTTATCCTTGACAAGCTGATTTTTCCTAAAAAAAGAGAGAGAAGCGAATCTCTTCAAACTGGTAAGCCTCAAGCAGCCTGTCGTTTCAAGTATCAAACGTCTCTCTCCCTCCTGTCTTTAAGAGTTCACACACAATTGACTCATCATCTCTTCGCAGTGCAACAGCAGCAACCTGGATTTCGCACGAGAATACACTGATCAAGATTGGATGCAGCAGAATCGACATTTATAAATGGGAAGTTCGCGGCAGACGGATTTAGAGCACCGAGTCGCTCGACTCGACATCCCCCCACATGTTCTTCTTTCCCCGCTCGTTGGAGAAAGAGCGCGGCGAGCAAGCGCACATGGCTCCGAGAGTTTCCAATTCTTTTTCTATTGCGGATTCTCCCAGGAGAAGGATGTGCCTACAAGCAGTCCCTGCTCCGGTGCGGCATTCTCCCAAGGGAATATAAAGACATTGGAGAAATACCTCCCCAAACTGAAACTATAGCACATCACCTGCAACTGGAGCCCTTCTCCACAAGCAACTGGAGCCCTTCTCCACAAGCAAAGTAGGAAAGAAAACCCAAGATTTTACCTTTGAATAGTCCTGTACCAACTCGTAGGGCCGCCGCCTCCTCCTTTCCTTCAGACGGCTCAGGATCAGCAGTCTATTTGGCCTCCGCGGCAGCACTGCCTTAAACACACGCTGGAAAGGCTCTGCGCGCCGCCATAACGTGAAGACGGCATCCAAACAAGTCAGCCCGCACCGGAAACCCTCCATATCTCCTTGGACTCAGCCAATCACTAGAAGCTTTTCTTTGCATCCGGGGTCTGCCTTTACTCCGATGGAGGGCCACGGGACTAGTTTGGAACTACAACTCCCAGTGTTCATGAGGGATCCGCATAGCGTTCTGCCCGGAGATTACAAATGAGTTTCGCTTTTCCCTCTAGTCGAGATCTGTTCTCACGGGATTTGTAGTTTTTTGTCCGTGTTTTCTTCTCGGGCATGCGATGGCGGCGGCGGCGGCGGCGGCAAGCCAATGTTTTTTTCAAGGTGCCTTTGGCTTTTAAGACGCTCTCTCAGAGAAATACAACCCAGTAGAGTAGGGTGAGTTTTCTTAAGTTCGAGATTCTTTGTTACGCCGTCCTGGCCTTTAGGAGGCATGCAGCACAGATTAGTGTGCGAATCACTTGTTTCCAAAAGATATTTCAGTCGCACCACGTGAAAGAACTAGTGGACTTTATGAAACAATTACTCCTGCCCTATTCACGCGATAGGTTGGTAGTTACATTATATTTATAACAGCAGTGGAGCTTTTCCCACTCCGCATCTATCTTTCACAATATATGTATTGTTGGTGTTAACTTGATCTTCCAAGTTAGGGGGATGATTATTACGCTACATCCTACCTGGTACATTCAGAAGCCCTTTCAAGATGAAAATTAATATTTACCCAATATCCTTCGGGGGAACGCGTTTTAATATTATATAGTGAACTTAGTTGAAATACTGTACATCTGCAACAAATAATGGTTATTGTGCTACCTATGAGCATGTAACAATGTTTTTCAGTTAAGAGACAGCATTAACAGCATTCCAGTTAAGCTCAGACGACATTTGTTAAAATTACGTATTAGTAATTGTGAATGCAAGCCGTACATTAAATTGTAAAGGTAATAAGGAGAATTCAAGTAGAGGTAAGTCTGCCATTTTCTATTTAAAATAACACCTAGGTGATCTGGTAATTTTGTAGGAGTCCACTCAATCAACTGTTATAGTTGTGCAAACTATTCAGTTACAGTTGACTGTAGCATGAAATCCACTAGCTAATTTATGGTTAGTGTATTGTATGAACCCAGAATCATGGGTAACTTGTGTAAATGTTGGTTCACTAAGCATATCATATGAACATAGTAATATTTGCTTCAGCAAGCAATGCAAGTTATCAGTAAAGAATCTGAAAATATTCACTAGGTTTATAGTTGGGTTTTTTTATTGCACCCAACCAATTACCGTATCTTAGCTGCCATCATCTTTCTTTCTTAGGAGGATAGTTCAGCAAGATTTTATTTGGCAGGTTAATGGAATGTAAGATGAATGTAAGAAAGAGGAAGTAGAGAAAGTAATATGCACATTATTGAAAGTTAATATGTACTTTATTGAAAGTGTAAAACTGGTTATTGATGGACTGAAAAGGTTGTAAGCTGGCTCAGGAATTCTGGGAGTTGAAGTCCATGAGTCATAAAAGAGCCAAGGTTGCCTACTCCTGCCTTAGACTATAAGACTGTATAGATGAAATATGGAATTGGATCTAAATCTGAACTTGGATTGGACTAGAACAGTGGTGGCGAACCTGTGGCATGGGTGCCAGAGGCGGCATGCAGAGCCCTTTCTGTGGGCACGCGCGCCGTTGCCCCAGTCCTAGGCCTTCAGCTGGGTTTTATAAAACCTTTTCGCTTTAGGCCTCGGCCACCATGTACAAAAAAATAAGGTTCAATCAATCAGTCAATTTCAACTTCTTGCGGGGGGGGGGGAGATCTTGCAAAGTTGGAATTGATTGATTGAACTTTTTAGTCCCACCCAGTCTGCCGTTATCATCGCAGCCACGCCCACCCAATGGGCCACACCCACCCGGCACCCGACAATGCATAAGTGGGTTTTGGGTTGCAGTTTGGGCACTCGGTCTCTAAAAGGTTTGCCATCACTGGACTAGAAAGTAGAAAATCCTTGGGCTGTTTTACAAATGATGGGGGATGGCAAATTATGTGGCAGTGTTGTAAATGTAGGTGTCCACAGGAAGATGAAAGAGGAGTGTGTAGGCTACTACTCTTGTGCAAAAAGAACATTGATCTGGTACAGGAGCCCAATCCCAGCTTTGATCTGAGAGTGATATTTCTAGAGAGCTCAACGAGAGACAACCTCAAAGGCAAAGAATGGAAAGAGGCTGATGTAGTGGGCTGAATGAGAGAGTTGATATTGCAAAGTGTCTTCATTTTCAGTGTATGGTCAGAAATAGTCAAGTGACCAAGGAGTTCCTAGAGCAAATAAAGGATTTGGATTACCAGAGATTTATAGGTCAGAATCTATAAATCTGGGAAGCTGTGAGAAACTTTCACAACTCCCTCTGTAGTAAAAGAACAGAGGGTATAGGATTCTCTTCCTAACATGCCTGGTTTTTACTGAAATTTTAAGGTTTGAGAACAATGGGGGTATTTCTGTTAGAAATGTTTTGATAGGAATATGCTTGTCAGGAATAATTATTGGTAGTTGTGAATAGAGTAAGAAGTATTCTGCGGTACATGTGAAAACCAAGCTAGGCCTGCAGAAATACCCTTTATATGGCAGGTACTAATGAAATGTTTGGTTTGAGGGCCCTTTGGAAATTGGGGTAGGGCAAAAAACTAGCCAATGCAAGATGCTGGGCAAGGTATGGCCTGTAATGGCTAGGGAAGCATGTATCAAAGGTTATTAGATCAGTTATTATTATTTCATTATTATTAATGAAAGTCTGTTCTGACGTACTTGCCTCTCCATGTTTAAGTGGCTAAGATGTCAAATACCTTGGTCTCCAATTGCTACTGGTAATGTAAGGTCTGTTCACAATCAGACTACATCCATCTATTACACGGTAAAGAATGAGTAAGCTTGTGTGTATTAAGTAGATCTGGCTGGGCAAAGTTGAAGTAAGTATGCCTGACAGAAATATGCTACCCAGGTTTCTGGTCATGCAACAATCTCTTGGCTGATGGCCTGTCGGACTAGGTTAGGAAAGGATAAACAAAACAATGCAACTGAATCTATCAGAATGATTTTGCAGGTTTTCTTGTATTTCTTAGATTTGGGTGTAGGTTGGACTGGTTGAAGTGAGGTTGATGGGAGTGATCTGGAATTGTTTTGGGTATGTGAAATCTGAGAAAGTGGATGGGTTTTTTTAAAGTATGAGTTCTGCTGCCTGGGACATCATTTTAGTATTATTTAATAATTATACAGAATCTCTAGGAGAGATCATCTCTCAGTTTATATACTGTATTCAGAAGCTTCAACTATGCTGTTACTGCTACCAGCTATTCAGCATGACATCACACTGGTGTATTACATTGGTTTCTGCTGTGCTTCTGAATGCAATTCAAGGTGTTGTTAGTTTTAAAACCCTTCATGGCTTGGAACCAGTGTACTTATGGGACCATCTCATCCCAAGTCTCTACCTGATTCAGCAAAAGGGGCATGTTTGTTGACTAAGCAGTATTGGCTGAAGAGTTAGCCATTTCTGTAAAGGCACCACTTTTAAGCATCATTTACACTTATACTGGGTTGGCCTCATTTCTATTGGCCTTTCATAACACCTTGAAAACTTTTGTTCCTGAGCCTGGGCCCTGGCTGTGGGATACAGCTCCATCTTGGCAGTCTGAATAATTGGTTAGATAATGCCCTGATGCTGGTTTTTTTTTTTTGTACTGTGTTTATTATTATATTGTAAGCCACGTAGAGTGACATAAAAGTGAGGTGGTGGCTATATAAATTGAATAAGACATCAGGTTTTCCCAAGCTTTCTTCTCCATGCTCTAGAATAGTTGGATTTTGGAAGTAGGATGACCCATCTGTACTTTTATTTGAAAAGACCCTGAAAACTATTCTAACAGCCCTGAGCCCATCGTATGGTTGTTGGGTTATAATTGCTTATTTCATGCTTTTCAATTATTAGAATTTTGTTGGGTTAGTTGATTGCTGTGAATAGACCAGAGTCCTAGTAATTGAGACAATATGCAAAAATGATAAATATTTAGTATCTCAGACACTTGCAACTGCATTTAGAAGAGAGAGAATATTTTATTTCCAAGAGACTAGAATCGGTATCATGCAAGTGAATTTCTGCCTACTTCATGCAGCAATACCTCTGTGCTTGTCTGCTTTGCATACTTCCATATCGCTCTTGAAAGAAAATAGATTCTAATTTATTTTCGCTGCAGAAAAAACCCTAATAAATTATGAAGCAAATAAGGAGCTGGTTGAAGCTTAGTTTGTCAAAAATCACAACAGGGTGTATATTGTTTGATTTTTTTAAGGGAAAAGCAGAAGGAAAATTATTTCAATAACTAATGGGCTATTTGAAAAAAAAAATAATATCTATAGCATTTGACAATAGTCTCATATATAGCTCATTTTTAAGACTGAAACTCCTATAATCTCTGACCATTAACTATACTGCCTAGTGGGAATCTTGCTACCTGAAGGGGAAAAAGTAGCTGAGAGTGCTATAAAATTGTCCTTAATAAATATTTCTTGTTTATCTAATCTGGGATCAATGTTACTATTAATACACTTTAGTTAGATAACTTTTAAACTCTAGCTTTCCCTAGTAAATATTGTATGATCTACCCTTTGACATTTTTTGTTTTGAAAGTTATGTTCTCTAATTCAGGGCTTTTCAATTTTTTCACCGATTGTACCACTTTTAGAATATGGCAACATTCGAGTACCACCAGTCACCCAGCAAGGTGTCAAAAGCTTGATGACAAAAAAAAATAATGGAAAAAAGTGATAAAGTACAGGTAGTCCTCAACTTACAACAGTTTGCTTGGTGACTGTTCAAAGTTACAACGGCACTGGAAAAAGTGACTTATGACCATTTTTCACACTTATGACCATTGCAGCATCCTCAGGGTCATGTGATTTACATTCGGATGCTTGGCAACCGATTCTTATTTATGATGGTCACATTGTTCCAGGGTCATGTGATCACCTTTTGCAACGTTGTGACAAGCAAAGTTAGTGGGGAAACCAGATTCACTGAATAACCATGTTACTAATTTAATCTTTCTCCTTCTTTCTTTCTCTCTCTCCTTCTTTCTCTCTCCCTTTCTCTTTCCCTCTCCCTTTCTTTCTCCCTCCGTCTCTTTCTCTCCCTTTCTCTCCCTGTCTCCCTTTCTTTTTCTCTCTCCCTCCCTTTTTCTCTCCCTCCTTTCTCTCTCTCTGTCTCCCTCTTTCTCCCTCTCCTCTTTCTCTCTCTCTTTCTCTCTCCCTCTCTCTATTTCTCTTTCCATCTTTCTCTCCCTCTATTTCTCTCTCCCTCTCAAAGATCCTTAAAATCCTTAAAAGTTATGCTTGGGCGGAAGACTTTTTCTTTTACAGATGGGGCGGGTGGGCCCAACATTCGTGGGCAGGCAGGACCCCGCCCGCCGAGTTGCTGCCTCCCCATCGCCCTCCACGCCAGCCGGCTCCGTCGCCAGACCTCCCAGCTGACAAGCGCAGGAGTTCGGCGCTGCGGCGGCCTCTCCTTCGCCCTCTGCACCAGCCAAAGCATTGCCGGACGTTCCAGCTGACGGGCGCAGGTCCGGGGGTCGTCAGCTGACGGGCGCAGGAGGTAGGCGCTGCAGCGGCCTCCCAGTCACCTGCTTCTTCAGCTGGAGCAGTTGCCAGAGCTTGCATGGTCGCCGGTGGCAGGGAGCACGTCAGCCCAAGCATAACGCCAGCAGTTGTGACACGGGGGCTTGAGGCACGGAGGCACGGGACGCGGAGCGGCGCGGTGCCGTTGGAGGCGGCAGGACAGGGGGGAGCGGTTACCTGCATCCTGCCAGCCGACCTCTGGAAGCCTGCCTGAATGAAGAATTTTAGGGGGTGTGGAAAGGGAGACAGACTGAGGGCTGTATTAAGACCATGGATGGCTGCGTAAGGAGAGTGGAAGGGAGGCGAATTCAGGGTGGAGCAGAAAACACGGGTGGAAGGCGTTAGGAAATAACCACCAAGGTACATGGTGCCTTGCAAGGGATTCCCGAGTGTTCCGCAATTGTTTTTCCTCTCTCCTCTGCGCAAGAAAAACTTTTGCGGCGTAAATCTGAAATGAGGCCCTGGGGAGGGCGGGGCCTTGCTCTGCGCCTGCACTCTTCACACGCCTCCTGCAGGGCACATTCGGTAAAGTTCGTGCAAGCTGCCGCCAAGCAGCATATTTTCCACAAACAAGTGAGGTGGGAAGGAGCGGAGCGGGGGGGAGGAAGGCAATGCCGGGGGGGGAGGAAGGTGATGCCGCGTACCACCAGCCAGGTGGTCGCGTACCACAAGTGGTACGCGCACCACCGGTTGACAAGCCCTGCTCTAATTTATAGTGTGACGTGTTTTCTAACTTATGGTGTGACTGTTCTCAACTTATGACTTATCCTTATATATTTGTAGGGTGCAATTACAACATTTTTTGAATTCTCATAAGTACTGGGTTTGCATAAAAGAGCTTACATTATTTTAATATTTCAAAGAATCAAGTTATTGGCTACATTAAAACTGTTCATGTTTCTGAGATTATTTAGGTATTAATGAGATATTTCATATAAAATTAATGTGAATGATTTAACCCCTATTTTGTTGGTTACCAAAAATCATCCTATTACTTTAGGGAACTAATTACTAGAATCTTAGATAAGTGGTCTCCTTGTACAACACCTTTTATACCATCCACATAGCCTCTTTTCTTTGCTGCTTCATCCAGTTGAAATAGTGCCTTTCAGTAGCAGCCACCTTTTCAATACCAATGTGTGTATTGTAAGTATATAACCTTTTAGTCCTTTATAAATATGTCTTATAGCACTACTGAATAATAGCTGCACAGGCTAAGTCTGAATTTCTCATTAAATATAAATACACCATCTGTCTTTAAGTGTCAATAGTCACCATAAAGTATTCTATACATTTTACAAATTAAAATGAAGGAATAGTTTTGTCTTAAACAGATCCAATCTATGTTTTCCTTTAGAACTTGTGGTTCTGGATATGACCTTCAAAAACATTGAAGATATTACCGTATTTTGTTTAGCAAATGTTAGTTATGTATCCTCTGTTCAGGTACCACCAATCAAAACTGAAATAGTATCTTTTTACGGGTGTGAGGGGAAGAGTATTGTCCAATTGATTTTGCTGTTAATTAATGTAAGCCTTCAATGCTTCTATTTAAAATGGTAACATTTCAAAAACCGTAATTAAAAGCAACATTTGAATTATAAACAAGAGGCAAGTGGATGCAATTCTAGGATCTATTTTTCCAAAAGCTCATATTTAGATCGTTTTCATGTTATTTATAAATGGGTCAAAAGTAGCAAAATAGCAAAATGAGTTCTTGCCATTATTAATATGAAAGTAGTTGAGATACAAGTTTTCTACTACAAGAAATGCCACAATTTTACTTATAGTCAGGAATTATTTTCGCATCTTTCACTTAGTATTTTCTAATCATCTGAAAATATCAAAACAATGAAAATACAAATAATGTGATCCAGACAATTCTAGATAGATTTTTAAATATGTGTTCATGTGCTCTGGATCATTCTACATCAAGTACTATTTTATGATAAACCAAAAATAGAATAGAACTGGAAGGGACCTTGGAGATCTTCTAGCCCAGCCCCTTCTGCAATTTCTTTATGACAATTTGGGATGATTAGAAAATCCCTAGCATACAACCAAAACTTGCCATATACGTTGCTAGATAATAGACAGTATTTTCTGAGAACAATTTCTATACCTGATTATGTAACATCTTAAGTTTTATTTTATAAAGAACTTTGGGCCTCAAGGAAAGAACTTGAAGCAAATGTAAGAACAAGTTCATGTCAGTTTTTAGAAAATGTTCCAGGCAAAGTGATCAGTTTTCTGTCTGTAGCATTTTTTCTATTTCTTTGTCCCAGTTGTCATCTTGTTTTTCTGATTCTGTAACTACTTCATATTCTTGAAGTTCTTGTTGTAGCTCTTTTTCCCAGTCTGCACTTTCTTCTAAATAGAAATAAAGCATAACTTATAGGACTGTATAATACACAACATGTAATTTAGTGTTCATACACTCTTATAATTGAATGCACAAAACATTTTTAAGTCCAAGAACAGTCAAATGAGAGCTTTAACAAAATATTATTTTTATGGGTTTTGTACCAGCAGGACCATATTATTGGAATATGAAGAATAATTATTTTTACCATCCACTGTAGTTGTTTCCTTTTTCTCATCATCAAGCACAAGCTGTTCAATCTCTTTTCTCAAATCTTCCTGATTCAGGTTGCATGCATCAAAAGCATCACTTACAAATTCAGATACACTTGGACTAGTAGAAATCTCTTCATCATCCTTTAATATAATTTTAAAGAAGGACTAATTTAAGAATATAAACAAACTTTATTAAAGGACTTATACTATTCACTCATTATAAGGAATGGAAAAAAACCTGAAGTTACAGGTATAAGATATCTAGACCAAGAAAACATTTGTAGTTTCTAGTAATTCAATTAATAACTATATATCTATGTTATAATAGCAGATTACAAGAAAATACAATCAGATATCTACCTGATCCCAACAATGCTTTTAGAATTCTTCTTTTAGCATATCATCTCTGCTTTCCAGCAAGAAAAAAATGCACTGTGCTATTGTTAATGAAAAGATTATTGGTACTAACTACTGTGCATCCTTAGATTTTCTAGGCTAAAAAAACATAATTTTTAGAATTATCATCAAAGAAAAATGGCTTAAATATAGGTTACAAGTGTTCCCTTAGCGAACATTCAAAGTGCGATAAGCACCCCCTAGTGTTTACGAAAAAGTCCAGAAACCCTAACCCTAATGAACAACTGCAGTGGCACTGCAATATTCACTCTGCCCTATTTCCCCTCTCCTCCTGCAGATCTCCCTAGGCATCAGGCCTTCAATACTCACCCTGCAAAGATCGAGATCCTTCGCTTTCTTGGCTGCTCCAGGCCTTCGGTGCGTTCGCAGAGAATGGAGGCCTAAAGTAATGCAAGATCATTTGAGATCAGTGGTGCAAGATATCATGCTACTGATCACGTGTGATCTTATGGTACTTTAGGCCTCTGTTCTCTGCAACAGAGAGCAGAACCGAAGCTGGAGGAGACTTCCGCGAACCCCCGGAAGTTTGATCCAGGTGTTGGAGGCCTTTCGAGGGCCGCTGCCGCCATTGCCGAACATTTCCACAGACCTCCGGAGGCCCGATCTTGGACACCTTTTCTGGGCTGCTGCCGCCCGGAAAGGAGGCCAGGAGATGCTTCTGCGGCCTCCGGAGATCAATTCTGGGTCTTGGAGGCCTCCACCAGGCTTCAGAGGCCCAGAATAGAAGCCGGGGCAGTGGCCACATGCTTCCAGATGTCCATTCTGGGCTTCGGAGGCCTTCTCCAGGCCTCCAAGGCCCAGAATGGAGGCCAGGGGACGCTTCTGCGTACCTTTGGAGGCCTGATCCAGGCGTTGTAGGCCTTTTCCAGGCTGTTGCCATCCAGAAGGGAAACCGGGACCGGCGGCCACATGCTTCCAGAGGTCCATTCTGGGCGTCGGAGACCTCCTCCAGGCATCTGAGGGCCAGAACGGAGGCCGGGGGCGATTTTGAGTGCCTCCTGAGTCTGTTCTGGGCCTTTGAGGCCCAGAATGGAGGCCGGGGATGGCGGCTACGTGCTTCCAGAGGTCTGTTCTGGGCCTTGGAGGCCTCCCTCTGCTCTTGCCAGGAGCAGAGAAAGAAACAGGCTGGAGAAGAGACAGATCTTCACAAGGTAAGTGACCCAGTACAGCAGGATTGGGTGGGAGAGCAATTGTGGGGACCCTAGGGGAGGGAGCATGAGGTATCTCAGTGGGGGGACTTGGGTGGTCTGAAATAGGTGGCCTGTTCCATTATTAGACCCTCCATGGTCTTCCCTACCGAGATACCTCATGTTCATTTAATGAGCTGCGCATTTGCCCACGCATTAAATTAGCAAATGCATGGACGAAAGCTGGGAGTGAATCGCCTTCAAGGTACGAGATTCACTCCTACAAATCCTCGAGTTATGAATGGAATGGGCAGGCTCCATTACATTTGTAATTCCAGGACTACCTGTAGGTAACTTTAAGCAAACTCCTTACTAAAAGAGTTTCTACTCTTAATACTTTTAAAATTCCAGTTCAGACGTTTATTTCAGCCATTTCTTTTACTTTCTAGTTTGCTTAGAGATAAAGGCATCATGGAGCAATTAGAAAATAGTTTGGATTTTGGAAATTTTAAATACCTTTGCTGTAAGTGCATACCTTAACTATAAAATAAGTTTACCTCTTGATGTTTCAGCTGAGATTTGATTGCAACAGGTGGCGTCTTTGGCCTCACAGTATCTAGGGGAAAAATAGATACAGTAAAAATTTGAAGGTATTTTCTAACAATGCCTGGTGTTTTAAAGAATGTGAATGACTATATAGGCATTGATACCAAGCTGTCATTTATTGCTGTTGCATGTATGGATAGTAAGCCTGTATTTCTGTATTTTTGTCTCTTCTTCCTTCAACAGAGAAATATATTGTTTGGTTTGCAGTCTGTATTAAAAGGGTAGCTTGTCTTTGTTACTGATTTGATATCATAGTTTCTTAATTGTGATGTTAAGATATATTTTTTCATATTTGAATGAAGCAAAAAGTACAGTTTGTTATAAACCACCATTAAGCTTACAATAGCTTTTCTTGACATACAAAGAATAGGAAAAAGAAATGGAAGGGCAGGATGCAAGTTGAAAGTTTTCTGGGGTTTACAGAAGCAGAAAAAAGGCCTTCTGAATTAGGTCTACAATTTCAGCTGTCCTTAAATAATTAAAGCAAAAGTAGTAAATATTAGAATCATGTCTGCAGGATTACACTGCACTTTCACAGAGACATACTGTAGTTCAGTGATGGCAAACCTTTTAGAGACCGAGTGCCCAAACTGCAACCCAAAACCCACTTATGCATCGTCGTGTGCCGGGTGGGCGTGGCCCATTGGGTGGGCGTGGCCCATTGGATGGGCGTGGCTGCAGTGGTAACGGCAGACTGGGTGGGACTAAAAAGTTCAATCAATCAATTCCAACTTTGCAAGATCTTTTTTTTCCCCGCGAGAAGTTGAAATTGACTGATTGATTGATTGAAACTTTTTTTTTTTTTTTTGTACACAGCGGCAGAGGCCTAAAGTGAAAAGGTTTTATAAAACCCAGCCATAGGTTCGCCACCACTGCTGTAGTTCCTCACTAACTTGACATTTGGCCTTGAAAACATGAGGTTGTTGATTTGCCTCTGTGCTGTCAAAACACTTGTCATGCCTAATCAATCTAGTGTTTCAGACTTTTAAAGCTGCAAAATAGGCAGAAATGGCTATAAAGGTAACAGGACAATCTATTCTATTTAGTTTCAGAGTAGGAATGCAGGGGCTTTATATTTAGCAGAAGGAACTAACATGCAAGCCATGAATAGCGGAACTGTACAGAAGAACTGTAAAAACCCTGTGCAGAAAGATTTTTATTTTTTTTTCAAATTCTAAACTCAAGATGTAATACAGTTGCATGGATTTATTAATTATATATGCAGAGTAAGATTTTGAAATGAATTAAGCATATCTTCTCTTTTTAGACCATAACTATGGCACTACATCATTTTATATAGTTTGCGACTTACGACCACAATTGAGCCCAACATTTCTGTTGCTAAGTGAGACATTTGTTAAGTGAGTTTGTCCCATTTTACAACCTTTCTTGGCATAGTTGTTAAGTGAATCACTGCAATTGTTAAGTTATAACATAATTGTTAAGTGAATCTGGCTTCCCCATTGACTTTGCTTGTCAGAAGGCCACAAAAGGAGATCACATAACCCCGAAATTTTGCAATCATCATAAATATGAGTCAGTTGCCAATCATCTGAATTTTGATCACGTGACCATGGGGGTGCTGCAATAGTCATAAGTGTGAACAACGGTCATAAGTCACTTTTTTCAATGTTGTTGTAACTTCGAATGGTCACTAAATGAACTGTTGTAAGTCGAGGATTACCTGTGTCAGTTTTAGTTTGTTTTATCTATAGAAGGAAGTTGAACAAACCAAATAAACTATATTTCTGCAAAACAGTTGAAGTTTTCTCCCAGTTATATAAGGAATGTTTCATATGAAATTGAAGGTGTAAGAAGCTTGAATTAAAAAAAAATAAGAGAAAAATATTCAAATTTTTAAATGTTTGTTTAAAGCAATAGCTACCTGTTAGCTGTCTATCCTCTTCACTGCCATTCTTTTCTTTTCTCACTGCTTGCTGTGCAGCCAGTGCTGTAAGTTGTGCGGACTGTTTAATAAGGGAGACCCGATAAAAAAAATTCCTCCAGAACACCTCTTCCTTTGCACTGAGGACAGCACATATGTTTTTGTTAGTAAGTACTTGCTTTATAACACTAGGTATACAGATTTTATGTATTAGGATTTGCCTTAATTGTCTGAGATACACAATTTATCTTATTGATTAGGCATAGTTCATAAATTTGCATCTAAAGTGGGAGGAAAATATAGTCAATGTTGTTCCAAAAAGATGGAATTGCACAGATTTAATGAAACTGTGTGTATATATATTTATAAACTCACAGAGAGAAGCTTAGGATCTATCTGTCTCTGTTTCTCAGTCTATCTCTATATAAATATCTCTATCTCTACCTATCTGCCTGCCTGCCTATCTATCTATGTATTCTCTCTTTCTCTCAGTCTCCATGGAGTTGAGATGTGCTATTTTGCTGACATCAATATGGAACAGATTAGCCATTGCCCTAGGATTTCCCATCAAAAATACAATCTAGGTCCAGTCATTTTATTTTTTTTCTAGTTTAGGCAAGGTCAGCTAACTGCTTACATTTGTTGAAAAACATCAGAATTACTTTCTTTGAAAAAAGATGAATCAATAAGACCTCAATATAAGAGATCCCTTTTAGCAGACTGGATGCCATGGCTAAACTAATATTCAAGTCTATTGCAATCAAAGTCATCCAGATGAATAACTTAAATTTATACCAAATTATGCAAATTTTGTCAATTTATATCATTTTTGTCAATGTCTATCATTTCCATAGTGAGAAATAGTACAAATATCTGATACAGAAATCCTTTAAGAAAATCATTATTCATAATTTTAAATGGTTTGACTCTAGCCTTGAAGAGATAATCACACATTAAATATCAAGGCTTATTTTAATAAGAAAAATTAAACATAATAATTTATAACTTTCAAGCTAAATGATATTTCTTGATAGCTAAGTGATTAGGAAATGATATTTCTTGATAGCTAAGTGATTAGGAAATATAGCTAGGTGATTATCAAATATAGATAGATCACTCACTGTTTTGGAACAAGATCAAATCTCATTCTATTCAGGAGCTCATCTTCTTGAAGCATCACCATGGCTACTGGATACATCTGGTCAAAGTCAAAATTAAACTGAACCCCTGCTGGTGGATCACGCAGAAAGTTTCTTCTATCCTTTGTAAAATAAAATGTGGTTGACAGAGGTTGAAAGCTGTTATTACCTTGAAAAAAAATATTTCTCAAGATGTTATTTTGAAAAACGAATTACATCATGAACACAGTTATTAATTATGACTGTTCTTATTTGTATTAGAGCTTTTTAGAAGTTATTACATATCAATATCCAGAATCCTACTTTAGGTAACAAACATGTATGTTTTCAAGAAATTAATAGTTTACGCTAGGAATGGGAAGCTTATGATTGCTGAACTACAGGTTTCCCCCCCATTCCTGGCTCAAAAGATAAAAAGCAAAAACCTGCCACATACTGCTGATAGGGCTAGTATTTGTTGTTGAATTGTTTCTTCTTCATTGCTGTCTACCCATGGAGGCACAGCTGTTTCTGTGAGCAGAAAAGGAATATTTATATAATTGCATTCACTCATAAGAGACCACTGAACAACTGGCATCTTCAAGTCAGAGAAGCCTCTTGCTAAGGTGTACATAAGAATGCTCAAACCAGTAATATTAAGCAGCAAACTAGATTATGTTAATTTAACTTAATTCATAAATCTGTGATGAATCCATATATTAGAGGTAAGATGGCAGCATTTGTCCCTGATTTTTTTCTTTTATATTCTTTCTTTCTTTGAAGATTGGGAGGTCACAGTAAGAGGAAAATTGTAACATTGTGCTATATAACCAACCAATATTTTTCTAAAATGGAATGGTTGGGCATATACATAAGATACGTGCATTGCACACATTTTACTTTGAAGGAAAGCTATATAATTCTTGTAGCATTTTGATGTTTCTTAAGAACAAATAATGGCTTCAGTTCCAATATATGAACAAATAATAGTAGGTTTCTGCATATAATTCCTGATCTTGGATGCACATTTGTTTTCTGTCAGTTTTGTCAATTGGAGAAGCGTGGATCTGAATGTCTTATCCTTGAACAAGCATATTACCTATAATTTGATTAAAGCTTTTTTTTAGTAATGTATCTAAATTGCAAGATCTCCAGTGAGAAATATAATCCAGTCACATTTTTGCTGCCTGTATTCGTTCTTATGAAGTTTAGTCAAGCGGCTGAGATCTTTAATATTCTAACTTAACTCCACAATGTTTATCAGAGCCAATGCAATATACCAGGTGGTTTATTAATTAGGATCAACAAAATTCATATCCACTGGATTGGATGTCTCCCACACATATGCACACATTTTCATCCAGATTGTTCTGAAAACAGAATTGAAGTTGGTGAGATTGTGTGTTTGTCTTAATTAATTATAGGAAGAACAAAACATAAATATGCTACTAAATACTTTTACAATAGATACTGCTTCATATTAAGTTGCAAGGTAAAAGCTTTTTCTTTCATAAAAATGTAATTTGTTGCACAGATAAGAAATGCACTACTTTTGCAATTTATAAATATGTAAACATTGCTTTTTCATGTTTTACTTTATTGCATTATCTTATACGATGCAACTTTATATTTTATATGAAACTCAATTTTTTTCTTTTTCTGATAAAATACTTCTTTAAAAAAATCATCCATTTTTACATGTTGTTCCATCCAATATCTTGCAAATAATTTTTGCTTATGTGCTAGGAAACATCCTGTCACCTTCCTAGTCCAATCTACAAGCTTTCTAATATTATTATTATTATTTTTGTAGCCAATTCAAAAAATACCTGATTTTTTGGTGTGTTGCTGTTGAACAAATTTTTCTTGTTCCTTTTGAAAGTCTCCTATAATTGTCTACAACAAAAAGTAAATATGAAAAATGAAAAAAGTTAGATGACCATTTCAAAACTATATTTTTGCTATTGTAACACAATGTGGACAGTTTCTAAAAAAGATTGACAACCATTCTTTATGTAGCCTACAGGAGAAAGATGAAAACTAAAACTGTGTAAGATTTATATATTTCAATGGCACCCCAAAATAGGTAAAACAAAGGGATTTCTGATTATATAGAATGTGCCTGCTTGATGCATGTGTTTTCCTTTTCCCGTAAATGCCAGCATTTGCCTTTTTTTATACTAACATTAAAATTTAAAGTCTTGAGAAAAAAAGAAATAACTAATATTACTACTTTAAAATGGGTAATCCAAGGTTCAAAAAGTTTTTAGTATAAAATATAAAAAAGTGAGCTTACGTTATTTCCCCATAATTTAACCCACATAAAACACCTTCAATCTGAAATAGTGGATACCAGAAACAAATAGGGTACATTTGTTTCTTTTAATGAATCCTGCAGATGTTTCCCCTTTGCAGATCCTTACACTAATTGAATCTGTGCTACTGTCAATAATATTAGCAATGGCATTCAAATTAAGTATTTTTCCACATTCAGATTATATCTTAACTTAACAAATAAGTTCTTTGCTGGTAAGCATCATGTTTCATCATCTAAACCTGGAAACCAGACCAAAAGCAGCTGATTATAATTAAAGTATTTGTGATGTGTTTGTTGGCAAACAAGCAAAGTTAATGGGGGAAGCCAGATATACTTAAGAAGCACACGATTCACTTAATAACTGCAGTGATTCTTATAACCATGGCAAAAAGGCTGATATTGGGTTGACTCACTTAATTGCCTTGCTTAGCAACAGAAATTCTGGTCCCAATTGTGTCATAAGTCAAGGACTATCTGCATATTTTAATTGCTACCAAACTTATTTATATAACTAATATAAACAAGCTTGTAAGATGAGTAGCATAAAGATAAGAGCTCTCCTTAGGATACAGCTAGTGACTCTAATTCCATAAAGCCTCTTTTCAAGCCCAACTTGGTTTAAGTGACTACATGGACATAATCATATGGTTTTCTTTAAGTGGTTTGCCATTACCTTCTTCCTGGAGATTTTTCAACTTTCTACTCTTAACCTACAGACCTAGACTTTCATGGTGATGTCCCATCTAAATATTTTCCTGATTGGACCCTGCTTAGCATCTGTGCCCAAATGCTATCATCTGGCAAAACTGTAAAACTAAAAGCCTTCAAAATGATTTAAAGCAGAGTAAGTTAATAGAAATACCAGTTTTATAGGCAATTATTTATAACAAAAGTACCTTATCAATTATATTTTCTATTTTTCCTTCTTCAACAGACTTCTTTATAGTTTGTGCTGTTTCAGCAACTGATTCAGATATCTTTTTTGTAGCCGTTGTAGCAAAGCTGAAGATATAACCTTTTAGAGATAAAACTTCATTTAAACTTAAAATATTTTCCTTCCTGCATTTCAGAAACTAATTGCTAATATGAATCTGAAGAATATGGGAATTTAGATTTATTCATTCAACTCTGCCAGTGCTTAAAAACATGCAGCATAATTAGTACATAATAATCAGGAGCAAGGAACTCACATACAGAAGCCTGCTTCCATGCAGTCTAGAGTTTATCAGTACCATTGATAATCTGGTGCACAAATCAGCATATCAACGTGACTTTAAATAATTTGATATTAATTCAGGAAGGAGTACTCTGGATGTAGGTGCCTAGTACAGAATATTATGATATGAGATATTATTGAACTAATTTACATAGAGAAAGCAATTATATTTTGGATGGTGTTTTGATTTCTTTGTTGGACATAGATATGGGATATAAAACTAACATTTCTCAAGATAAAATAAAGTATGACAAATCCAAGATACTGTACATGATAAATTTGCTGAACTCAATAACAAAAAATCTAAATTGTACTAAGTTTATCTATTTTGTTTATCTACCAACAAGGCTTTGAAAACTAGGATTTCAGCCATCCTATTTAAATAATAGCATAACTTGTAAACTATAATTTGTTTTAAAAAATTGATTACATGAACTATAAGTTAACTGTTAACCCTAATTCTGAGCTTTTCCTTAGTCCAAAAACTCCTTTGCTGTATATAAGCTTTAGTTTCAACATTCATTGTTGTTGTCATCACCAACACACATTTTTAAACATAGACTTTCCTAGTAATATGGAATTGGAGTGTGTTGCTTTTTCATATGGTTTAGAAACCAAATACAAAGGATATTCCAACATCCCTGAAGAGGTACTTGAATATTTTATACATTTACTATGAAATAAGCCTGTGGTATTCCAGAGGAAGCTATTTCCATAATTGCAACCCAAAGTACATTTAACTGAAATTAAAGCAACTTTCACTGAGTAAATGGAATAGCCAAACTCTGTATTTACATGGGAATAAGTGTCAGTGAAGCTCAACAGGCACAGCTTATGCCTACTGCAACTTTATAATCTGTATGCTGCATTTGTATGCTGCCTGACTCCCAACAATTCTGGGCAGCATACAAGTTAAATAAATGAATAAATCAATCCTTGACGATCACAAAAAGGTCTTAATGTCTCTTGTTGCCATCTAGTAGTCGTCCAGAGTTTTGGTGCCCTAAAGAGGGGGTCTGAGGAAACAATTTATAGAAAAGATTATTTGTAGGATCTGCGCTAGGGCAGCCTGTAAACACATAATAAGCAGAGCATTGTAAGATGGGGCGAGGGTGCCTGGCCACGGGATTTCGCGAAGGAGGAACGAGACACTCACTGCCAAGCCCCTTCGCCTGATTAACGATCGGGTCCAGGTCTGGCCTCCCTTTCTGTCCCTCCTCTTCGTAGCACGGTGATGGCGCGTCTCTTTCAGGAACCTGTTCTTCCGCGCCAGTCCTTGCTTTCCCTTTGGGGGAAGACGGTTTTCCTTCCTCTTCCGCCCAATTCATCCCCAACCAACCACTCAGGCCGCGCAACATCTTAAAAGATTCGCGTCGCTCCCCAAAGCCGCCGAACTTCCCCCTAAACGGTGTTCCGGGTCTCAGCAGTGTCGGGCCCAGGTTGCTGGGAAGGCAGCCTTTGTTTCCGGAAGAAAGTGAGGGCCCGCCTGTCGCGTCATCCCAGTACGTCAGCAGCGGAACCAGGGATGTCAGCTTTTCAAGTTCCGTGAGTGTTCTGCTTCTAATGAGCGTCCCCTTTCCTCCCTCAATCTGGGCAAGGCACAACGCTGAGGGTAGGGTTTTTTTTTAAGATACGTAATAAACCAATTACTGTTTGTTCAGAGTCAATACATCTGTCTAATACAAATCTATTGTATTAATTGTCAGTACAAACAAATAATTAAAGTTCATTTGAAATAATTCCAAAGAAACTCTCAGAAGTGCTTTTTTCCTCTTCAAAAGGCAATTGGACTGTTTTTTCCTTGGGGAAGAACAAAATCTTTCCTTTTTCATCCAGCAAACTTCATTAGTTTCAGAAACATCACTCCCCAACCCCCCATCACAGCTGATGAAGTTTCCTCAAAGAAAAGAACAATCCAGTGCCTTTTGGAGAAAAAAAAGCACCTTTGAGATAACTATAACCTGGATGACTGAGACTCTCCACAGACATAATTCCAAGGAACTTTGCCATTCTGGAAGAAGACAATCGAAAACAAATCTGTAACAGAATAAATCATTCCATATGCAATTAAGTGTTTCAATTTTATAGAAAGAAAATTGAATGCAAAATAAAGCATTGCCAACTAAAATTAAAACACTTCCATTTACTATTTTGAAAGAGTCAAGTGGTTTGTATCTAAATGAATGCAGACTAGATATAGGCTCCTTTAATCAAGCTTAGTGTCTGGATTTAATGGATGTTCCCAGAGAGCTTTCCTGGAAGAATTACAGAAGTGGTTAGTCACTGCCTTTATGGGACATTTTTTACTTCCCGTTTAAACCTGTAACCCTGGTGATCTCCAGTAAAGCAGGATCAACAATGATTATTATTACCTAGCTTTTTGAGAGCAATTGATGTCCACTAAAGTAACCTCTATATTGAATTTCTTGGCCATTGCTTTTGAATAAAATGCATAGGAACTAGTAGTAATTGTTTAAATTACTCTCTGGGATTAACAGGGAAATTATTTTTTTAAAATGTAACTATTTGAAGAAGAGTCAATCTACATAAATAAATGCTCCAACATGGATTTTGTTGTTAATAAGCAGTCTAGGGTCTTGGGAGATGTTCCTCAGAAATGTTCATTTTTTAAATAGGAAGAATGCACAAGTTTTCCAAAGGATTGTTGGCAAATCTGAAATATCTGGCAAATTACAAGTGCAATATATATTAGGCACAGTAGTAGATATGATTACATTTGATTTGTTGATAGTGATTTCATTATACATAAATTAGGTCCACAAGGTATCCTAAACTAGGAGTGGGGACCAGGCTCAGCAGTCTTAATGTTTGCATTTATTTCAGTCAGCATAACTTCAGCAATCCCAGATACATAAAGCATGGCTGTTCTTACTCTGGGCAAAATTATCCCACGTGAATGTATATACCGGTAGTCCTTGACTTATGGCCACAAATGAGCCCGAAATTTCTGTTTTTAAGTGAGACATTTGTTAAATGAGTTTTGCTCCATTTTACGACCTTTCTTGCTATAGTTATTAAGTGAATCACTGCAGTTGTTAAATTAGTAACCTGGTTGTTAAATGAATCTGCCTTCCCCATTGACTTTGCTTGTCAGAAGGTTGCAAAAGATAATCACATGATCCCGGGACACTAATGAGTTAATTGCCAAGTGTCTGAATTTTGATCATGTGACCATGGGGATGCCACAATGGTTGTAACTGTCACTTTTTTCAATGCCGTTGTAACTTCGAACAGTCACTAAATGAACTGTTGTAAGTCAAGGACTACTTATATTGGTGATTTTCATTGTGTGAAAATCCATTAGGTTGCATGGAAACACCATCTTTTTTTGTATGTTTATAAGAGTTTCCCCCCTAATTCTATAGTTCTAAGACAAGAACAAATGTAGAACATTTGACTTCCCTCTCTGCACATTCAGACACAATTTCTTCTATTTCTTTGGAGTAACAACATTCACCTTAAGTGGCCCTAAATCCTGCATGTTTCAGATGAATAGAGGTTTTTATAATAGTATTTCCTTCTTTGTCAGAGAAACACAACTCCATCTAAGATTCAGATTCTACTTGCTGTCAGTTGAGGAACCATTCTGTGTTTTTTGGAGCAGGGATAGAAGCAATAGTGATGATCCAGCCATCCAAGTTCCGTATTTTCTGCTTTCCAGTTTGTAATGTTTTCTAATCTTGGGTTAATATTTTCAAACTTTTGCTTTGTTTCAATAACCTTTAGAACATGACATACGTAGCCAACTGTTAAATACAGATTTCATATAACTATATTTTTACATCTTTGCTAGACTGTGGTCCTTAGTGCTATATTAGAATATAATTTTTCTTTTTCTATGCAATAAGCCAGTGGTGGCGAACCTTTTAGAGACTGAGTGCCCAAACTGCAACCCAAAACCCACTTATGTATCGCTGGGTGCCAGGTGGGCGTGGCTCACTGGGTGGGCGTGGCTGTGGTGGTCATGGCAGACCGTGGGTGTGGCCAAGGTAGGCATGGTCATCTTGATGTTGCTCGTGGCAAGGGACAACTGTGGGGGCCAGGCAGGGTTGGAGGAGATCTAGGGGGTCTCTGGCAGGTGGGGCAGTGGGCAGGAGGCTTGTCCTGCGGGGTGAGGTGAGGCAAGGCGAGGCAGGGCGGGGGTCCCATTGTCGCAGGGCAAAGCGAGGCAGGGGCCGGGGCGGCTGCTGCCTGACACCATCGGCCCCCGTACACAGAGGCCAGTGAGCGCATGGGGGCCGACAGTGTCTATCAGCAGCCACAGCCTGCCGGCCCCTCGAACAGCACACTCTGGGGCTTCGCAGCCCACCACCAGCAGTTCAGAGAAGCCGCCTCTGAGCTGGACGGCCAGCTGACAGCTGAGGAGGCGATGCACTGGGTCGTGCCCAGGAAAAGGAGAGCATGTGAGGCCAGGAGGGATGGGACGGGAGGGAGGGAGGGAGGGAAACCAGCCGTGCTGGGATGCATCTGGCCACGTGAGTTAGTGGGTGGCTGGTTGAAGAGGGACAGTTGCCATCTCTGGGGCATGGTACGCGTGCCCACAGAGAGGGCTCTGAGTGCCGCCTCTGGCACGCGTGCCATAGGTTCGCCACCACTGCAATAGGCTGCTGTTATAAAGCAGTTGGATTTGGTTCAATCACATAGGTTACTTGTATATGTCAAGTGTATTATGCTCTCTACCTCAGTTTGGAATTTGCATCCTTCAATTTGCCTCTTTTATAAAAAAGATTAATATTGGAGAAACAAGGTACAATAGCAGCATTAAATCAAAAGAGTGCTTCTGTTGCATTTATCTTTCTCTCACACAGGATCTAGCTTGATCCACAGTTTCTGTTTGTTTATCCCAATTTGTATAGACACTGAAAGAGAAAAATAAGTTCAATAGAGCAGAGGTCCCCAACCTATGGGCCGCAGCCCACTACCTCTTGCTCTTGTGCCGACGCTAGCCAAGCCGCGAATCTCTCCCTGGCACTAGCTGAGCCGAGAGCCATGAGCCTCTCGCTGGAGCTAGGAGAACCGCGAGCCTCTTGCTGGTGCTAGGAGAGCTGTGCGCTGGCACTAGGGGAGCTGCGAGCCTCTCAACGGTGCTACAAGAGCCACAAGCCTCTACCCAGCACTAGGAGAACCGTGATCCGCACAACGGCGCTAGGAGCCGTGAGCCTCTCGACAGTGCTAGGCAAGCTACAAGCCTCTCGCCGGTGCTAGGAGAGCCACGAGCCACGTGCTGGTGCTAGGAGAGTCGCGAGCCGCACACCAGCGGTAGGAGAACTGTGCGTGGGTGCTACCACCCCCATTTGCGGAGCACACATGCTCACGGCCCCGTTTGCGCACACGCAGCCACATTTGCTTGTGTGCACATGGGCGCATAAAGGTGCCTGTCCTTGTCTTTCCCACCAGGCTGCCAACCCAGAAAGGTTGGCGACCCTTGCAATAGAGTGCTTTTATTGTTTACTCAAACTTTTGCCTTGTTAAAAAAATGATGGCTTAGATTAACATGCCATGTTTTGTCTTTTCCATGTACAGTAATATGCTCCTACTGTAGGTTGATAAATGTAGGTTCATATTGTGATTGTTTGCTGCATGAATTAAAGGCATGTTTCTCAACCCTCAGTTAGCCTTTTGTAATCAAGATTTTGCTTCTGTAGGTGACAAAGGAAAATTTGGAAGATCACCCCTTTGGGATCTGTTAGTTTCAAAAATAATTTGCTTGCTATACCTGTGATGTGTCTCAGATCTTCTGAAAAATTGTCTGGTCTGAATTTATGATTGTGGTATTTACTAACTTGCCCAGCTAGCAAAAAGTTATTCTTTTGGAATATATTGTGTGATCATATTGATAGACTTAATTATTTTTAATATTGATCAAGAGACTGGACAGCATGTGAATCTCTTTCTTCAAATGCTGGCTGGCTGAGGAATTCTGGGAGTTGAGGTTCATGCATCATAAAATGGCTAAGTTTGAAAAACTGCTAGTACAAGTAGTCCCCGACTTACAACAGTTCATTTAGTGACCGTTCAAAGTTACAACATCACTGAAAATGACTTATGACCATTTTTCACAGTTACGACCTTTGCAACATCCCCATAATTATGTGATCAAAATTCAGATGCTTGGCATTTGATTCATATTTATGACTGTTGCTGTGTCCCAAGTGATGGCCAAATAGAGCTCTTTTTAGGCTCGTGCCTCGGCATGCATATTTTCCAATGAGACAAACTAAGACAGGAAGATCATTTTATTATAGTTTATCAGAATATTCAGACAAAAGGGATTCCTCTTATTCAAAGAGGAAACCCCAATCTTTAACTTACAACACCTTTTATAGTTAGCATAACAAAGAAAAATCAAAGAGGAAAGTTGGTTGGACAGGATAAAAGTAACCTCCCGTTTGCATAGAAAATCAGTTACATCTGGTCAAGCATGTTATGTATTTGCTTCCCATAATATCACACA